AAAATGTTCAAAATTATATATGGAATACTATGAATCGTTTCTATTATTTTCTCCAATTCCAATTTTTTTGAATACCAATAAAATACGTTAGAGCAAGAAAATATATATATATCATATGAAGGCAGAGTTAAATACCTTTTATTTGAGATACTAATCATCAAATTCTAGCGGGTAAAAGTAAGGTTTTACCACAAATTAAGTTCGCTTCTATTATTTTTTTATTATTATATTATTATTTTTTCCATATCATATATATGTATATTAGAGTGATCCAAGCTTGTATGAAGGAAAAAAATTTTATGCGACAGGCCGTCCCCCCTCTGGAATTGTTCTATGGCTTGTAAAACTATGTCATGCAAAAAAATAGGCTGATTGAATAACGTTAACAGGTGCCGCAACGGCTCTGCATTTACAAGGGGAAAATTTTAATTTTTTTCAGTGACAAGGCGAACTTGTTGTCAGCTGTGGTCAAAAAAGTTTGATTTTTCAACGGCCGTTTCAAATCTCCAATTTCAGTTATTTTGAAACTTTGTTAAACTAGTTTAAAATTTTTTAGAATGTCTCATGGGGATTTATGGACAACAGATAAGTGAATAATACGGTGAAAAAATTAGATCAATAATTCTTACAGTTTAGCTGTACCTGCGATTTGAACTCTGCGGATTTCGGGAAAATCGCATTATTTTTGTAAAATTTTAGAGAATACGTTTTAGTTCTTTACTGTTGCACGTTTTAAACAAAGTATTTTAAGAGTATTTAAGACCAGATAATATAAAATATATATTCCAAATTTTATTCAAATCGGGCAAAGGTCAAATTTTGCAAAATTTGTGAATTCTCAGTATACCATGCCGAAATATTATTTATTTCTTGGCCATATTTAATAAATATGACTGGAATTTTTAGTGTAAAGTCTTATGTTTAAAATAACAGCTGTAAAAGTAAAGTTAACCCTTTAAATTACATGGGACAAATTTAACCCCGAAGTTAAAAAAAAAATCGTAAAAACATTATCCATTTGAATAATGCTCTATATAATTAGACGAATAACAGAAATAATACAAAAAATGATATATTAGGTGTAAAAGCTTATGAATTAACCCTTTTTGACCACATAAAGTTTGTATTTTTAAACATATTGGATTGAAAATCCAAACAAGCTTGGAGTGATCCAAGCTTGTATGAAGGAAAAAAATTTTATGCGACAGGCCGTCCCCCCTCTGGAATTGTTCTATGGCTTGTAAAACTATGTCATGCAAAAAAATAGGCTGATTGAATAACGTTAACAGGTGCCGCAACGGCTCTGCATTTACAAGGGGAAAATTTTAATTTTTTTTCAGTGACAAGGCGAACTTGTTGTCAGCTATGGTCAAAAAAGTTTGATTTTTCAACGGCCGTTTCAAATCTCCAATTTCAGTTATTTTGAAACTTTGTTAAACTAGTTTAAAATTTTTTAGAATGTCTCATGGGGATTTATGGACAACAGATAAGTGAATAATACGGTGAAAAAATTAGATCAATAATTCTTACAGTTTAGCTGTACCTGCGATTTGAACTCTGCGGATTTCGGGAAAATCGCATTATTTTTGTAAAATTTTAGAGAATACGTTTTAGTTCTTTACTGTTGCACGTTTTAAACAAAGTATTTTAAGAGTATTTAAGACCAGATAATATAAAATATATATTCCAAATTTTATTCAAATCGGGCAAAGGTCAAATTTTGCAAAATTTGTGAATTCTCAGTATACCATGCCGAAATATTATTTATTTCTTGGCCATATTTAATAAATATGACTGGAATTTTTAGTGTAAAGTCTTATGTTTAAAATAACAGCTGTAAAAGTAAAGTTAACCCTTTAAATTACATGGGACAAATTTAACCCCGAAGTTAAAAAAAAAATCGTAAAAACATTATCCATTTGAATAATGCTCTATATAATTAGACGAATAACAGAAATAATACAAAAAATGATATATTAGGTGTAAAAGCTTATGAATTAACCCTTTTTGACCACATAAAGTTTGTATTTTTAAACATATTGGATTGAAAATCGACCGTAGAAAAGGATTACATAAAGGTTTTCTTTTAAAAATGTTCACCTCAAGTTAACTGCACAGTCAAAATGGGTTTTTGTTATATTTCTGTTATTCCTCTAATTATAATTTTTGAGCTTTGGTGTTAAATTGTTCCCAAGTGTCTTAAAGATTTCATCTACCATTTTTTACACTATTTTAAATATCGGAGTATATACAATAAATTCCAGCCATTTTTGGTAAATATTACCGTCAAATAAATATTATTTTTTTATTGGTACACTAAGAATTCCCAAATATTGCAGAATATGACCTTTGAACTCCACAGTTTATGGGTTAAAAATGTCCGATTTTAATTAAACTTCGGATATATATTTAATATTATTATATATATTTTAAGTAACAAAATGTTTTGTTTAGAATATATCCCAAAAAAAGTAATATTTTTTGTCACATTTCGAATTCATGTGCTGTGAGACACGTTAATGGCCTGGGGAATTTGCAATAACTTTTAAAGTTTTCAAGCCATTTTCAAAATTTATTACTAAATGGCCAACTTTGAGCAAAAACTGAAAAATTCGGTATTTTCCCCTTGTAAATGCACTTGTAAACTTCAGAGCCGTTGCGGCACCTGTTAAAGTTATCCTTTCAGCCTATATTTTTGTATGAGATAGTTTTACAAACCAGAGAACAATTCTAGAAGGGGAGACGGCAAAATTCGCAACTTCGTTTTTTTGGAGCACTCTAATGTATATGTATACATTCATCCTGTATATGTACAAGTGATACCGTTAAATTTTCCTTCCATGTCCAGGTATGTTCAGAGTAAACTCTGTTCATACTTATTATTTGATGGATTCGCACTTCGGTCTACCGGTAACGTCTCTAGGTGCTATTGCCGACTCAACAGAGGCCATACCATCTGCGTGGTTGTAAACGGAAGTGATGTTTTTGCATTTCGGAAGTTAAGCAACGGGGCAGCAATGGTCATAGATTAGATAGCTCAATTACTTGAGCAAAGTGCACGTATACTGGACCGAAAATTTCATATACGTAAATTGCCACCCGCGTGTAAGAAGCCCAATGGGGCGGTGGTGAGTCATCACAAAAGCTTACCCCGTGGTTGGAAAATACCACCGTGAAATAGGCCAACACGGCAGGTTTTCACGGAAAACACTTCGACATTAATACCCTTCTCACGATGGTGAAGGGTATACAAATAACACAGTTTGCCCAACCCTTACCCTTGGTATGGAAAACATTTGCTTTCAGATTATTTTCAGTGTTGGTAAACATTTTTTTTCAATAAAAATATGTACGCAAAAAACTAATTTTTAAGCGAATGATGTCTCAAATATCAGAATGCGACAAAAATAAATACCTGGGAAATGATACTATTTTTCTGAAAGGTGGATCCCAGTAGAACAACAATATGTGTCTGAAATTTTTTAGTTTGCACCGTTGTCCAAGTTTGGAGATGTGTTTTGAAAGTAACCGTACTTTTTTTAATTGATTAGAAACACATGTCTATTCATGAGAAAAACGCAACTTTGTTTTTAAAAATCCCTTAGCATTATTTTTCTTAATACAAAATTGTTCAAAAACTGATTTCTGAAGGATGCTTTATATTGGGGATAGGGTTAAATATGAGCCGATCCTCGAAAAATTTGATGGATAAAAGTTATTTATGCTGAATTCATCGTGATATTAATATTAAGAGGAGAATTATAGAATCCAATTCATTTTTTGAAGGATGGTTTGTATGGGAACTAGGTTCAAATACGACCGTATTGTCTAAAGAATCAGCAGTATCACTAAAGATTTATTTGACCCTAGTCCTCATGCTAATCCTCCTTAAGCAAGCGACTTTAATTCAATAATTCTCTTAATTGCATCAATATCACGATGAAATTCAGCATAAATAACTTTATATAAACTTTATATTTAATCCGTTTTGGAAACATTTTGTATTAAGAAAAAGATCAATAAAGTTGTCGTTTTTAATTTAATAAACTGATACTTCCACCGTGAAACCCCTATTAACGAACAACAAATAAGGCATTTTCTTTTCACAAATATGTAGCAAAAAGGAATAATTAATTCATATTTTACTCGTTTTTTTTTTTTTTTTGTGTAGATATTTTTGTTTACACCACATCTGCATGCAAGACAAAGACCAAACAATGCAAAAAATGCACGATTTTTAATATTTGGCTTGGGAAATTGTCAATAACTTTGTTGTTAAGAAAAGATAATTTAAATAGCTCAATTTTTGAAGAAATTAAAAAAAGTCCTATTTTACACTTTTCAAACAATTTCCGCACGGGTTATCGTTATCCGATTTGACTAAAAGTAAGTAAGTTTTAGACACTAATAAACAATATAAGATCCATCTGTGCAAAATCGATATATTTTGGACACCTCCACTGTCTATATAATATAACAGATTAATTTAATTATTTTGCAGTGAGACACTGTATGTATAGTAGATAATGGAATTTATTTTATTCTAACTAACATTTCTTCTTAAATCTCTATGTACCCTTTTTTAATCCATTTTTGGGAATAGACTTGAAGTGAAAAGAAAGTTTCGAATGATTGACATAGCAAGGCTATATTTTAGTTTGTATTTATAGCTCTTGATAGATACCTTTAGTATGTAAGAAAAGTGGAAAATGAATTGTATTAGCTTTAAGAAAACTTATTGTACTGAATAGAATTTTGAATTGAAACTTGAAAAACTTGAAACTTCTTAAATCTCTAACCGAAATATTATCCTATAAATAAAACTCGTCTATGGAATTGGTATTTAAAATAATTAGTTTCTGCGTGAACTGACACACTGTCGGTTTTTTTTTTTTTAATTATTTTCGTTTTTTTTTTTTTTAAATATATTGGTTTATTTATGTGTCCATTGTTGTATAGGAGAACTTTAATAATGTTGTGTCTTTTTGTTCTCGTTGCAGGTTTTGGCTTCGTTACATTTCAAAGTGAAGACGTTGTAGATAAAGTTTGTGAAATTCATTTCCATGAGATAAATAATAAAATGGTAAGTTAAAATATGTATTCTAATTTTCTTTAATTAGCAGTCCGTCGTCCACTTTATACGTATTTAAATGGCATGCTGTAAAACAATTTCCTTCTCATTTTTGGGGTTATTTCAATAATAATTAATGAATTATTTGTTTGTCTACAGGTCGAGTGCAAGAAGGCCCAACCGAAAGAAGTAATGTTACCAGCAAATTTGGCTAAAACTCGTGCTGCTGGCCGTTCTGCTTACGGTGAGTTGGTAGTTTGGAGCAGTAATGCTAACACTAGTTCAGCTGCCGCTGCTGCAAGTGCCGCTGGTGGTGGTGGTAGTGCTACAGCTGCTGGTATACTTGGTAGTAATTTTGCCATGGCAGCAGCAGCTACTGCTCTTCCCGGCGTACATCATCATCACGCTCATGCTCATACACATGCAACCCTGTTTGGTGGTGTTGGTTCGGGTGGTGGTGGTAGCGGTACTAGTGTGCACTCTAACACTTCTTTGCGTTATACGCCATATCCGTTGCCAACACATTTCGCTGCGGCTGCAGCTGCAGCTGCCGCTAATCAGCAACAACAATTACATCAACACCAACAGCAACAACAACAGCAGAATTTGGCAAACGCTGTAGTTGCCGCCGCAGCCGGTGCTCAACCCTCCCATACTTTCATACCACTTTCAACAACAACACCCAATCCCTCGGCCGTAACTGGTCACTCACTTTTGCAATATGCTGCGGCTGCAGCCGCTTCCAATCCACATCAGGCCTCGGCTTTATACGATGCCGCTGCTATGGTTGGCTATAAGCGTTTGTTAGCAGCAGCAGCTGCTACACAACTTAGACCTGCCAATACAAATAATTCTTTAGCAGCGGCCGCAGCTGCTGCTGCCGCTTCTGCACCATCGGCTCAAGCCCAATTAAGACCAGCTTCGGCCACCCTAACTTATCCCTTCACCGATTTACTATCGGTACCGGGTCTAGATATGCCCACCGCAACTCTCTATCAATTACAGGGCACGAACACCCTTGGAATCTGACCACCTTCAGCGGTACTAACACAACTAACACGTCCATAATTGATTTTACCGATTTTTAAATTACAAAAATTTTCATTTATTCATTTCTCATTTAAATATTATTTATAGTTGTATTCATATAATACTTACTTAACAAAATAAACATTCAAATTTGGACATTAATTTGAATGTTTATTTCAATTCAAAAAAATTAATTAATCTATTGTATGTATGTTTAACTTAATATGTACTACTACTGCTACTATTATTGCTAAAACTTAACATTATTTAAACAAAAATATACAAGTATTTGTAAATTAATGCTCAAAGTCAAACAAACAAGAAAAAAAAAACATAAACCACTAGGTTTAGTTTAAAATTATTAATGAATATTTAACCTCTTAAATCAAAAGAAAAATTTACCATAAAACTATAATACCAAAAATTAATCTAAAAAAAAGAAAGAAAAGAAACATTGTGTTTTGTCTAACCATTTGCATTTAGTGTTTTAGTTTAACATTTAATATCTAAATCAAACAAACAAACGAAAGGTCCTTTAATCTTTATTATATGATCTTTAGAGTTATGTTAAAACCATTTCATTCATAGGTATTTAAAGGACTTTTAAATGTTTCAATTACACATTTGTATTTTTCCTCTTAACATTAACTTAAATGTAATTAGTCTATTGAAAACTTTAAAAGCATATAATGTTTTTAGCAATCGGTTGAACTGATTTGCAGAACATGAAAAAAAAAAACAAAAAACTACTTTCAGAAAGGAAATTGATTTTAATGTAAAGGGTTTTTGATTTTCGTTTATTGATCAAGACTTATCTTGAATATTTTAACATTCTTGTAAGATTTTTTCGGAATTAAATAAAAGAATATTTGATGAATTAATACAGATATCCCATATTACATCAGTTTTCTTCTGAAAAATATGTTATTTCTTTCTTTTTCCTTAAAACATATTAGATAATTTTACTTAGTTATAAGATTAATTACTCTAAATATTTACGATATATAAAAAATACATTTTGTAAAAACCGTAATGTAATCTTCCAAATCAGAAAAAACCCTAGGGGCTTAGAGGCCAAATTTTCCGATTCGATTGAAATATGATTTAAAAAATTAGGTGTCATGAAAAAGTAGATGTTTTTCTTAGGCCAAAGTGTGTATATGAAATATTTTTAGAAAACGATAATTTATATGTAAGTAGACGATATGAAATTACTAATTTGACACACAAATCGAATTATTAAATACAAGCATACAAATTTGTAGAATATAAGTAGTGGATAAAATTAATAAAAAAATAACAACAGAATTTGTAAAAACCGTAAAGTGAAAGTGAACAGAACCAGGATTCGAAGGTAGAAATTTTTGTGTAACAATACTTAGAACATTCTTAATTTTATTTTTATCTCGCTAATTTTATTTTTCATTAGAAAAGATTATCAATGTTGGAAGATCATAAAAAATTGATGGCTTAGGTATAAAAAAAAAAAAAAAACAAATAATTGAAAAGTTTGCTCTCATTTCTAGAAAAATTACATCGTACAACAAATTGAGAAAAATTGTTGCACACATGAGCAAGACCAAATACGTTTAAAACTACATACTTGATATAGTTGTATTACATTTTAGGTTTTTTATTTTCTGATCGTTTATTTTTTTAAAGGACTTTAAAGTTTGAAAGGAAGAGTAAGTATAATTATATTTAGCTAAAATTTGGTTGGGTCTAATAGGTCAATATGGGTATCGACTGAAAGAGGAGATATGAATAAAATACGAATAAAATTATTTTAAAATGTTAAAATAAAAACACAAAAAAAAAATTCCTTTAAAACTGTAATCCAGTAATATCCTTATTTTCTATAGTTAGTTTTTTTATAAAAAATATATGTCAAATTTACTAATATGGAGTTCCAGATTCCAAAATTTCATCTTCTTATCTTTATTAGTTTTTTGTAAAAATAATTTAAAAGTTAAGTTATATTCAAATTGAAAAATATGTTTGTTGAAACGATTTTGTAAATTTATTATTTATAAAACTTAACTATCCCCATTATCTCAATGTCTGTTAATTTTTTTATCCCAACGTTAAATTGACAGTTTTCAGGCAGAATATCTACCAATTAAACGATAACCGGAGGTTGAGATAACAGGCCTTAAAATGTATAAAATTTTATTTCGTATAATTAAGACGATTTAGTGATTTAGGTGTTGATATTAGAACATGCTTGTTCTGAACTCTAAAATCCTCTTCAGGATAATATGATAAGCGCGATATTATTATAAATATAAATTATAATACTAAAATATGGCTTGAACTTCCATAATTGACTTATAAGCATTAATATAACGATGAAAAGCTACATAAATATTTGTATTTGACCGTAGCTCACATATGAAGCCACTTTCAGAAAATTAGTTTTTCTTCAATATGTCGCAATTGAAATAAAATCAAATCATATTTTACTAAAATAAACTGGTGTAGGGTGTCATATGTTCAGCCAGCCCGGCTATACTTTCCTACTTGTTTAAATATGTATTTATGTATATCGTGGTTTACTAATTGCGCTTGATATACGTTTGCGCTTTTAACAAAAAATATATAATAAACTACTTTGATAACATTATTGGGAGGTCAAAGGTATTTTTAAAAGATATATAGAATTTACAACAACTATAATAGGTATTTTAACATGACAAGATAAAAAAAATATATCCTTAATCGATTTTTATCCTTTCATATTTTTCAAAGTTTCCACTTTATTTTTTAACTTTTTATCATGGAAATAATGAAAATCGGTTCTAAAATATCATTTTCTCCATATTATTTTAACAAAAAAAAATTTTAAATTTTTTGAGTGGAAAATTTTATTAATTTTTTTTTGAGATATTCAAACAAAAATATATAAAAATGAAACAAATGGAGCTATGAAGACCAAATTTGAGACTATTGTACTCCATTCTAATGTCTTTATTATGAATATTTTTTTTTACAATTTTGTATAAAATTTCGAGGATAATAAAGGATTAACTTTTATAAGGATATTCTTTATATCTTTTTATGATTAGAAAATAAAATGAAATGCTACATATAATTACTGGAATTGTCTTCTTTCATTTGATACCCATATTGTAATAATAGGATGACTACAAATATTTAATAGAGAATTTTGAAATGTGTATGTACTTCAAATTTTTAAGTCATTTAAAAAGGACTAACGATCAGAAAATTAAAAACTGAGTACGGAGTTTTAGCACATAAATTATCATATGTATATGGTTTGGTTCGTGTGTGAAAAATGCTGTTGCACGGTGTTATCATTTTATTACTGGTTTCTTATATAAAAAGTTAAATCTTCTTTTTATCTTGATAAAAAAAAACAATTTAAATTAGAAAAAGTTTAATATTTCAAAAAAAAGGACACTTTAATTTTTAATAAACAACTAGATACAAATAACAATTGTTGAAAAACCTGTAAAAGTGCAATACTTTATGAATATATGTTTGTATAAAGCGCGAGAGGGCAAGGTGAACTAATTAAAAACAGCAACAACAGTGAAATACTATTTAACAATAGAGAGAGAGAACAACAATTACCTCAAAAACTATTGCAAGGATGCTCTAAGAGGATAATTAAATATACATACATATAAAAAAGAAAAAAAATAGTGCAAAAACGTCAGAAAGTCAATGGAATTGTAATATACCAATCAACAGCACCAGAACAATTCAACAGCAGCAACAAAAATGGATTAAACATTTTTTATTATTTTTAAAATAGATGTTTTATTTTTTATTTTAAATTTTTCAGAATTTGTATTTTTGTATTTTTTAGTTGTAGTTTATCAATAGTCATTTTTTTTTTTAATTTTTATTTTAACTAATTTATTTAAACGTCTTTCCTTTTTAAGTTTTTTAATATGAATTCATTCTATTAAAAAAATATTTAATCTAAATACATAAAAGTACTAAATTATCATAATAGTTTTAGTGCAAAAAAAAAATAATAAGATCAATGACTTTTATTAGAAAAGTTTTAGATTAACAACAAGTAGGAAAGTATAGTCGGGCATGACCGACCATATGGTACCCTACACCATTAGTATATTTTAAAAATTATGTATTTTTCATAGAGAAACTTTTATGGTTAATTTTACCTAAATTCCGGTGTATTTAAATAATTTATTGATTAAAAATAAATTTTCTAAAATAGGCTTTGTATGGGAGTTAGGGTCGAATATGAGCTGATCCTCATAAAATTTGAAGGAGGGATATATGTATTTTTATATAATGCTGAATTTCATTGTGATACCAATTGTGATATAATGGACCGATTTCCTCTGCCGAAAAACACATTTGGTCCAAATTTTATCAAAATATCTTGAAAATTGCGGCCTGTACCTTGCGCACAAGGTTTACATGGACAGCCAGCCAGACTCAGAGCCGTGATTCGATCGGTAATCTTTAAGGTAGGCGTAGGACCAATATATTTGTACGTTACAAACATCAGCAAAACCCACTATAGTGGTGTAGGGTATAAATATGTATGTTGCACAAAATCGTCGGTTGAATGTGGAAATTATAGTTACATCTATATTTTTTATATCATAAACTTTTACTTATTTAAATCGGTATATTCATTAAAATCATATTTAATGCATTTGGAAGTAAAATATTAATAATAATATTAAATAATAATAATATTAAATAATAATAATAATATTAAATAATAATAATATTAAATAATAATTACTTATCAATTCGCCTCTTTCAACTGACCGTTTTGTGAACAAATATTTTTTTTTAGTTTAACAAGGTCACCACTTTTTAACTTATTTTAGTTTTAAGTATATTTTAGTTTTTAGTTTAAACGAACATTTATACTAATATTTTTTAAATTAACAGCAATTATAAAATAGGTTACAAATTAGAAACTTTTATTATTACAACGAACAAAAATCTTTTAGCCAATCTTAGTATATACTTTTAACAAATACTTTTTCTAAAATAACGACAACAACAAAAACAAATAAATCAATGAAATGATTTGTTTGGAAATATTTTTAATATTAAAAAACTTAGTAAATTAGTTTAAAATTTAACTTTTTAAAATTATAATTACACTTTAGAAATTAATACAAATAAATTTGAAATATTTTCAGACAGCAATAATGGCTATTCGCATATGTCAAAACATTTTTTATATGTACATTAGGGTGTCCCGTGGACCACTTTTTTGTATGAATACCTCTCAAACGATGCGTTTTAATGTACTACACACGAGAAAAATAAAAAACAATTTTTTTGAAAAGTTCAGTTCCCCACCTGCGATTGAAAATCTTGATCTCAGTACAATATGTTCAAAAATAATTTAATGCAATCTTTTCGAAAAATTCCGTAATTTTGAGCTTATCGCCGGAAAAATAATTTTAATGTATTACAAGGGGCATATTATTAAAAAAAAAAACTAAAAAATTCTGAAATGAACTGTTCCAAATGCCAATCTGTTTTTTAAACATTTTTCTGTATAAGCTAAAAATTAGGACAATTTTGACACCTATTACGAAAATAATACGCCTCTCCAACCCACTAAAAATCATTCTGTGGACCAAAAATACTCCACAAAGATCAGCAGAAAAATACGGAATTTTTGAGACCCATTTTGAAAAAATCGAAGACATTTTATTTTTCACAAATAACACTGAGATCAGGATTTTCAATCGCTGGTAGTGAACTGAGAACCGTTCGAAAAAAAATATTTTTTATTTTTTTCGTGTTCAGTACATTAATGCGCATCGATTGATAGGTATTCCTACATTAAATTCTTTAAAAATGCTGTTCCTCGGGACACTCTAATGTACACACTCATTTTTGTCGTCTGAAAATATCTTTATAAATAAGATTAATACTAAACTCAGAAATTATCTTTATATATCTGTGTATTTGTCTAATATATGTATATGTGTGATAGTATGTGTTTATGTCTTAGTGTAGGATACAGAGAGATACTTAAAGAATTCTTAAAATCAATAATTTTTGAAAAAAAAAAAAAACATTAGTCAAATCTTCTATAGTGAAACATAACGAAATAATAAATAACTATAGTAAACACTAGTTAACATACATATTTACACATCTATAATTACATATTTTTTATTTAAATCAATTGATACATTTTTAGTTTCTAAATGTTTTAGATTGTACTCGTACAAGCAAAATTTTAGCGAATTACTTTCTATTTAACAGAGAACAAAAATATATATCTAAACATACAACTTTTTTGAATTTACAACTTTTTTATATTTTTTATTTTTTAGAATTTGTTTATCAACAGAAGTGAAAATTTTTACGAAGTTTTGTAATATTTATATTTGCTTTTATTTTTCTCTTTCATTATTTATCGACAATACAGACAACATCATGTGGGGACTAGGGACATTACCGGAAGGTGAGTATTAACATGTTTCTTAATTATATATACCAAGTTTTAAATTTAAAACAAATTAGTTTAAATATTTAACCTAAATTTGAATCAATCCTTAAAATTGAATAACTTATGTATACCTTTTTAAGGTGGATAGTGTTTATAAAAAACCGACTTTTAGAAAACCCGGTTTTTTGGTTAACCCAAAATTGACCATTTCTAGAAAACCGGTTTGTCGGTTAACCGAGTATAAAAAAACCGGTTAACCGAAATGTTTGGAAATCTTTAAAATATTATAATATTTAGTTGAAAAATGTCATTTTGAGAAATATTATGAATTACTTAATAAGATATTTGCACTTTTTAGTATAGATATGTACATTAATATATCTTAAGAAAACAAACTTATACAGATCTATAGGAGGGATAAATTGACCTTTGAATATATAATGCATCTATATCAATAACAAAATGTATGTCCAGGACTATCAAGTATAAATAGTGTTAAGGCTAAAGACGATTCATCAGGCACGGAAGTAGACGACGACTGTCTCGGCATAGACATTGAGCCCCTGCTTTAATTGTGACCTTCCTCCGCTCGCTACGCCTGTGGTTGTTCAAATTACTGCGAAATATTGACAGGTGTCATTCTGACTTCCTGTCAATCAACCTAAGCGCCATTACAGTTTGTGAAAACCCTAAAAACTCATATCTAGGCATTATTGGATTAATGGTAGAATATTTGACAATAATCTAATTGGCCAGCACTATTTTTAGGCAATTTGGAAATGCCCGTCTGTCAACCTAATGATGGACAAAATAATTTGTCTTCATACCCTAATCAAAATTAAATACATTAAATATTAAATAAATTTTTTAATGTTTAAGTTTTTTACGTTGAATACACAGAAAAAAACTGAAAAACGTTTTCAATTACCAAAACCTCGTTTTCAATTATTTTATTTTTTGAAGTTCAACCTATAACAAAAATTGTATATTCAATTACTACTTATAATTGATTTCGTACACAAAATTTTTATTTTTTTCTATTTTTGTTGTTGTTGTTGTCATTACCAAATTATGATATAAGTATTGCCCATATGCATACAAATATTACTGTGAAATTTTTTTTGATCGGTCCATAATTGGTCATAGCTCCCATACAAGGTCCCCTCCCGAAAATCACTTAAACGCGCATAACTCATTACTTAATTAAGATATCCATATAAAATTTGGTACAAGTATTGCCCATATGCATAGAAATATTACTGTGAAATTTTTTTCCGATCGGTCCATAATTGGTCATAGCTCCCATACAAGGTCCCCTCCCGAAAATCACTTAAACGCGCATAACTCATTACTAAATTAAGATATCAATATAAAATTTGGCACAAGTATTACTCATATGCACAGAAATATTACTGTGAACATTTTTTTCGATCGCACAGTGGTATAGGAAAAAAAAAGAGGGAAATAATTCGGTAACTTCTAAACGGTTAATCCGATTTTAATGAAATTTGGTATGCACAAAGAGGAGGTGTTGTCGAGTTTAGGTTTTGAATTTGGACCTTATAGGCCAACCAGGGGCCCGGCGGGGGGTCCTCAAATTAGGACACCTCGGCTATGTTAAATTTTTAAAACGATCCTATTTCTTCATTTAAGTTCCGATTTAAAAAAAATTTCGTATATAGAATCCTCATCGAGCACTATAAAAAATGTCGTCATAGCAGTAAATTATCTCTTATAGTTTAGGAGATATTCGCATTTGAAAATTAAAATTTTAAAATTTTTACCGTTCTTACTTTAGTTTTTTGATAATAGCGGGTCCAAATATTCCCGATTTTCGCCATTTCTTTTTTTATTCGCTTAACAACAAGTTTATATATCAAGCAGTGAAAGAATTATGTAAAAATCATGACTGAGTCCAAAGTTATAGGCATTTTAATTTAAAAAATTAAAAAAAGGCGATTTTTTGCCATTTTTTTGGGAAAAAAGTATCTTTTTCTTTTTAAGTTATCTAAAAAGTTTCTAAGAAGATGTATATAGAATTTATACTTTTTGAAAAGCTGACTTTACATAAAATACGATAAATGAAACAAAACCTAAAAATTTTTGATACCGAGGGGACCAGGTCCATCCAAAAAACCCTATTTTTTATAGAAAATTCAATTTTGAGCATAAATTCTCAAATCGCATAGTCGATATCAAATTATAGTGACCTGTTTTATATGACCCAATATGTTCTTAATCATTTTGTAACGGGTTTCGATAACCCCGCCCCTGGTATGGATATAATAGGCAAAAAACCAAAAAATCCCATTTTTGGGATTTTTTAAAACTTTTTTGGGAATTCCGGGATTTCTAATAAGAAAATTCGAACTTTTTATTTAATTTTAGATTTTGAGTAAAAAAATCTACCTAACTGTAAAATTTCATCAAAAAATATTCATAAATAAAATTTTTATTGCAATTTGAAAAATTTGTATCTTCGCAAAAACTGAATAAAAAACATTTTTTAATTTTTTTAAAAAAAGTATTCCGCGAATTTTTTAATTTTCAAAAATTATATACAGTTTTGAAAAATAGACAAAATTACCTTTCCATTGATATATAACATGCCTACCTAATTTAAGTGACAAATTAATTAGGGAAAACTCAACATCTTTTAGAAAATTTACCTAGCACTATTATTTTCATCCATAACGTTAACTCTTAAATTTGTTACATATATTAAAAAATTTTCAGGTATTATTTTTTAAACTGTAATGATTTTTACCCCTATAGGTCACTTTAATAGGTAGCTTATTAAAGTGACCTATTGAGGAAAAATTAATTACATAAGGATACGTTAGACATATTAGGTAGAATATCATAACCCTTTAAAAAATAATTTAATTTAAGTACCTGTAATTAATATATAAGACAGGTTTATATCTGTTTGTAATTATTTGTAATTTTCTAACCATGGCGATCGTACTAAAAAAAATTGATTTGTGCTCCATTTTATTTGAACACTCTTCAGCTCCTTTTCAAGATAAAGTGAACTTCTTATTGAAATATATTGAAACTGCACATAAAAATAAAGTGGATAAAACTGATATATGTAAAATTGAAAATTTTATAAAATCAGTTGATATAAAACTGAAGAGTGTTCGGTATTCCATTGCTAAATTTCGATCGAAATTTTCTGATTGGCTGGATGAATGTGTAGAAGTTGCTATTTGCGTATCAACTGTTGGTGCTCCCTGTAAGCAGTATGAGGATTTGAGCTCAAAATCTAAGAGGAAAAGGTTATCAACTTCACTAGAAACCTTATCTAACGAAGAAGTTTCGGACACTTTTAAAGCAATGTTAAGAAAAGAAAAACAGCCTTTGGATGCCATAAAAATTGCAAATATTCTTCCAACCGCATCACCAAGACGACTGAAAAGAATTGTAAAGAGTATACCCACACCATCATCTGATACAACGTTCACTGAGGAAGAAGCTATTGCGCTTATGTTGCAGCTGGGATTAAGTCGTGATAACTACATAACGTTAAGAAAGGCGCTATCTGAAAAAAGGATGGTTTAACATCATATGACAAAATAAATGAAAAGAAGAAAAGCATTATACCACCTCCTATTGAAATAACTGATCGGAAGGCTGTTATTGGACTCGGCGCTCTACTCGAAAATACTGCTTTAAGGATTGCTTCTGACTTTTCTTCAGACCAACTAAAAAAAATAAATTCTTGTGATCTTCAACTCATTTGTAAGTGGGGATGTGATGGATTATCAGCACTCTCGGAATATAAACAAATCAACACAAGTGAATCATCTTCCGAGTATAAAAGTGTATTTATGGCATCGCTAGTTCCATTAAGAATTCGAAAGTATGCTGACAGCGATTCTCCATCAACCAGTTTCGATGATATTTGGAAGAATTCGACTCCAGGATCCAAAGCTTTTTGTAGGCCAATAAGCTTTGAGTATATAAAGGAATCCAAAACAACAACGCAAGATTTGATAAATCGTATTGAAGCAGAAATTAAAAACTTGGAACCTATAACAATCGAAATAGAAAATTATTCGTTTAACATGTCCTATGATTTAAAACTTACAATGATTGATGGGAAAGTTGGAAATGCCATTACAGGAACATCATCTACTTGGTACTGCTACATATGTGGTGATAAAAAATCAGAATTTTCGAATATTTCCAAGCAAAGATCAATAAATGAGGAAACATTACAATTTGGAATATCCCCCCTACATGCTCGCATACGATTTCTGGAACATTTTCTACATTTAGCATATGATTTAAAGTACAGAAGCATACCGGAAAATGCAAACAAAAGTGCAAATAACAATAAGGAGTTAATGGAAATGAGAGCCAGTGAGAAACGAAGAATTCAAGAGGAATTTAAAAAGCGGATGGGATTAAATATTGATAAACCACTCACAGGATATGGAAGCACAAACGATGGTAATACCGCTAGACGTTTTTTTAAACATTTTGAAACTACTTCCGAAATAACCGGAATTAGTATGGATTTACTGCAAAAGGTCAATATTATTCTAATGGCGATAAATAGCAAGCATAAAGTGAACGCAACAAAATTTGGAGAGTATTCTACAAAAGTTTCTAAATTACTTTTGGAATTATATCCCTGGAAAGAAATGACACCAACAGTTCACAAGATATTATGTCATGGAAAGGTCATCATAGAACATAATATTCTGCCTTTAGGAGAGCTTACAGAAGAACCCCAAGAATCGAGGAATAGAGACTTTAAGCATATTCATCAGTTTAGCTCAAGGAAGTGTTCTAGGCAGTCTCAAAATGAAGATATTTTTAATAATCTGATTCTATCTTCTGATCCTGTTTTATCTACTATAAGGAAACGTTGGATTTGCTACAAAACGTTAGCATTTGAAAATATTCATGAATTTAAAGATTTACTTTATCTTTTAGATATGGACTACTGTGATACCGATTATTTTACAAAATTATATTAATTTATAAAAAAAAAATAAATAAAGACTATTTTTATATAAAATAAATACTTGTTAATTTTTTTTAGGGATAAAGAATAAAAGATTAATCGTAAAAAGTGGCTGTAAAAATTCATAAAAATTTAGGTAGTAAAACATGCCTAACAAATGTATGGATGAAAATAATAGTACTAGGTAAATTCTCTAAAAGATGTTGAGTTTTCCCTAATTAATTTGTCACTTAAAAAACATTAGGTAGGCATGTTATATATCAATGGAAAGGTAATTTTGTCTATTTTTCAAAACTGTATATAATTTTTGAAAATTAAAAAATTCGCGGAATACTTTTTTAAAAAAAATTAAAAAATGTTTTTTATTCAGTTTTTGCCAAGATACAAATTTTTCAAATTGCAATAAAAATTTTATTTATGAATATTTTTTGATGAAATTTTACAGTTAGGTAGATTTTTTTACTCAAAATCCAAAATTAAATAAAAATTTCGAATTTTCTTATTAGAAATCCCGGAATTCCCAAAAAAGTTTTAAAAAATCCCAAAAATGGGATTTTTTGGTTTTTTGCCTATTATATCCATACCAGGGGCGGGGTTATCGAAACCCGTTACAAAATGATTAAGAACATATTGGGTCATATAAAACAGGTCACTATAATTTGATATCGACTATGCGATTTGAGAATTTTTGCTCAAAATTGAATTTTATATAAAAAATAGGGTTTTTTTGGATGGATCTGGTCCCCTCGGTATCAAAAATTTTTAGGTTTTGTTTCATTTATCGTATTTTATGTAAAGTCAGCTTTTCAAAAAGTATAAATTCTATATACATCTTCTTAGAAACTTTTTAGATAACTTAAAAAGAAAAAGATACTTTTTTCCCCAAAAAATGGCAAAAAATCGCCTTTTTTTAATTTTTTAAATTAAAATGCCTATAACTTTGGACTCAGTCATGATTTTTACATAATTCTTTCACTGCTTGATATATAGACTTGTTGTTAAGCGAATAAAAAAAAATGGCGAAAATCGGGAATATTTGGACCCGCTATTATCAAAAAACTAAAGTAAGGACGGTAAAAATTTTAAAATTTTAATTTTCAAATGCGAATATCTCCTAAACTATAAGAGATAATTTACTGCTACGACGACATTTTTTATAGTGCTCGATGGGAAGATTCTATATACGAAATTTTTTTTAAATCGGAACTCAAATGAAGAAATAAGATCGTTTTAAAAATTTAACATAGCCGAGGTGTCCTAATTTGAGGACCCCCCGCCGGGCCCCTGGTTGGCCTATAAGGTCCAAATTCAAAACCTAAACTCGACAACACCTCCTTTTTGTGCATACCAAATTTCATTAAAATCGGATTAACCGTTTAGAAGTTACCGAATTATTTCCCTCTTTTTTTTTTCCTATACCACTGTGGATCGGTCCATAATTGGTCATAGCTCCCATACAAGGTCCCCTCCCGAAAATCACTTAAACGCGCATAACTCATTACTAAATTAAGATATCCATATAAAATTTGGTATAATTATTGCCCATGTGCATAGAAATATTACTGTGAAATTTTTTTCCGATCGGTCCATAATTGGTCATAGCTCCCATACAAGGTCCCCTCCCGAAAATCACTTAAACGCGCATAACTCATTACTAAATTAAGATATCCATATAAAATTTGGTATAAGTATTGTCCATGTGCATAGAAATATTACTGTGAAATTTTTTTCCGATCGGTCCATAATTGGTCATAGCACCCATACAAGGTCCCCTCCCGAAAATCACTTAAACGCGCATAACTCATTACTAAATTAAGATATCCATATAACATTTGGCATAAAAATTGCCCATATGCATAGAAATATTACTGTGAAATTTTTTTCCGATCGGTACATAACTGGTCATAGCTCCCATACAAGGTCCCCTCCCGAAAATCACTTAAACGCGCATAACTCATTACTAAATTAAGATATCAATATAAAATTTGGCACAAGTATTACTCATATGCACAGAAATATTACTAAATTAAGATATCCATATAACATTTGGCATAAAAATTGCCCATATGCATAGAAATATTACTGTGAAATTTTTTTCCGATCGGTACATAACTGGTCATAGCTCCCATACAAGGTCCCCTCCCGAAAATCACTTAAACGCGCATAACTCATTACTAAATTAAGATATCAATATAAAATTTGGCACAAGTATTACTCATATGCACAGAAATATTACTGTGAAATTTTTTTTCGATCGGTCCATAATTGGTCATAGCTCCCATACAAGGTCCCCTCCCGAAAATCACTTAAACACGCATAACTCATTACTTAATTAAGATACCCATATGGTACAAATATTACTCATATGCACAGTGATATTACGGTCCATAACTGTATGTATTTTGAAAATCCTTAAATCTTTCACACACATGCATACATGCAAATACTAAATATCGCTAAAGCATATCTTAGGGCGCTATTAAAAATTTTTAAAGAAAGTGGCGTTTCTAATGTTCAATAAATCTTGGAATTGTAGTAGATTTAAGCTGTTTAAATCTTGGGATTTTTCTATTTAAGACATGAGAAAAAGTATTCCTACAAATATTTTATTAATTAGAAATGTATTAATACAAAAGTTGCTGGTGGAGGGTATTTAAGATTCGGCTCAGCCGAATATAGCACTCTAACTTGTTAAAATTAATTTTTTCTGTGTATCATGTGAATAAATTCGCATTCAGTAAGAAGCTTGTATTTTTAGTTTCATTCGTTTAACTTCCACATTATAGAAAATTTCGAAAATACTATTAGAAAAAAAGAACTATAAAATTCCTCTTATAGATTCTCATTGAATCAAAATTTATGTTTCTTGTCAAAATATTACAATTCAAAAATATAATTTGGTGAATACAAAAGTACCAAAATCCCTTTCAGTGGGAGTCTAAGATTCTAGGTCCCTTTCATTTTTAACTTTTATATTTTCTAATTTCAATATCGTAAAAATATCAAAAAGTAGCATCGGAAAAAGCATCTCGCCTGGATTATGGGGACATGAGATCCCTATGAATATATATATATTATATATATATAGATATAATCTATATATCTCATATATCTATATATATCTATATATGAAGATTATATATATATCTTTATATATATATACTATCTATCTATATATATATATATCATAGCTATATCTCTCTCTATCTATTCTATATCTCTCTAGATCTCATTCTATATCTATCTCTCTATCTTACTCTATCATATATCTTCTATCTAAGATAGATATAATCTCTGTTTAAAGAGCGTATACAAGATAATTTATCTCCTCCTCGCGTATTATGGGGACATGAGATCCCTATGAACATATATATATAAATATATATTTAAAAGAGTAGCGTTACGGACTGAACCAAAGGAGGAAAACCGGGAAATTTCATTTTATACAAACTCATATACATGTATGTATATAGATTATTCAAATAGATAGTGATTTTTCGAATTTTTGAACATTGGTGTTAAATTGCTCCCAAGTGCCTTAAAGGGTTAATCTACACTTTGTTCTCTCTATTTTAAATATCAAAATATATTCAATAAATGCCGACAAATAAATATTATTTCGATATGGTACACTAAGAATTCCCAATTGCAAAATTTGACCTTTGAACTCCACACTTTAAGAATGTCCGATTTTAATAAAACTTCGGATATATATTTTATATTATCTGGATTATAATACTCTGAAAATATTTCATTTGAAATGTACATATGAAATAATTAATACGTATTCTCTAAAATATTACAAAAAAATGCGATTTTCCCGAAATCCACCGAGTTCACATCGCAGGTACAGCTAAACTGTAAGAAATATTGATAAAATTTTCTTACCGTTTAATATCCTTATCTATTGTCCATAAATCCCCATGAGACCTCCTAAAAATTTTGAAATTTGTTTAACAAAGTTTCAAAAAAAACTGAAATTGGAGATTTGAAACGGCCGTTGAAAAAAATAAACTTTTTTGACCATAGTTGAGAACAAGTTTGCGTTATCTTAGAAGGGCAAAAACTAATATTCGAGTAATTATAGATACATTTTAAATAACAAAAGGTTTTTTTAGAATATATCCCAAAAAAAGTAAATTTTTTTGTCACATTTCGAATTCATGTGCTGTGAGACACGTTAATGGCCTGGGGAATTTGCAATAACTTTTAAAGTTTTCAAGCAATTTTTGTGTTTTATATCTTTCCGAAATGCTTACTCTGTGCACATTACAATTCCTGTACAATAAAGTTCAAAATATATTACTAAATGGCGATGAAAAAACTTTTTAAATAATTTTCACTAATCCCATCCCATTATGGGGCTATAAAGCCCTTAAAGAAAATTGTATAAGCTTTCTTTTAAGCAAAAAAGGGCTAATTATTGCTAGGACCAATAGGTGAAAAGTTACACTTATTTGAATAAAATCCTGTATGACCAAAATTTCCTCTAAGTCCGGCAGTTCTTGACCGATAGAGCTGAAAATATGTTTATGGCCTTATCCAATAGTACTAATCTTGGTGCAAATTTCATCAAAATCAATTTTTTGAGTTGGGTCACTTTACAATAAATTGCCGATTAGTAAAATCAATACATATCTTTTTCTTGGCAATACTATATAGTATGTATACCCGAAGAAAAATATTTGTACTTTATGTATTTTTTAATTTCAAATAAACATTTTTCACACTCTTGTATTATATTAATATTATGTACTCTTGCGTTTCAGGCTTTCCAGCGGCTGCTTACGCTGCCTACGCAGCTGGACGTGGCTACTCGGGTTATCCTAGTTTTGGTTTACCGTATCCTACTGGTGAGTTTCAATAGTATTTTTAAATAATAAATATACATAATAATAGTTTAAGATTACACGAAATTCCATTTGAAATAAAATCCCCACTTTTTAACCCATTATAAATAATAATAAAAAATTAAAAATTAATAAATAATCGGACTATTGCAATTTCCATCTTTAACTCAATTAATATGTATAACAATGCTTGATGCACCCTTAAGTATAACCAATTCAAAATGAAAACAAACTAACATAATGTTTCCTATCAAATCACCACAAACTAAATTTTACTAAAAAAATTATAAATATGTAAAACGAATTTCAATTGGAAAATTTTTTGTGATTAATTTTTATAAATAAAAAAAGTTTTTGCTGGAATCGTTTCGAAGTCAAACAAATGTATGCGTGTTACTTTTTGCACGGGACTACACTAAATCCATTTTAAAAAATCAATTTCATTAATAAAAATTTAATTACATGAAGTTGCATCTTTGTGTGTGTGTGTGTTTTTTTTTTTTGTTTGCAGAAAACTAACAGAACTTTTGTACATAAATCTAAATCATCCGCAATAAAACTTTCAAAATTATTTTTATTACTTTTGCTTTTCGATTTTTTCTATATTTTCATTTGCATCTACGACAGCTGGTGTAATGAGTGTAGTCCCGGAAAATCGTATTTTGATTGGTGATTATATGGTGGCTCCTCCCACAACTACTGCTTAAATCTTTCCAGTTTAAAATATTATTTTATATTCTCTTTGTTTATTATTTACATAAATAAGTTTTTTTTATTAAAAGATTTTTTCAGATTTTTAATTTTAAACATTTTATTATCACCAAAGACGTTGACCAAAAAAGGCAATAATTACACATTATAAACGAACAAAATGTATACGCACTAGAACTGTTGTACAATAATTTTAAATTTATTTATTAGTTCACTAATAAATTTACTATGTTTAAGTGATCTTTCTTAATAATAGAATAAAATTATATTATTTCAAAAAGAAGGAAGCATTTTGTAATATTTTTATTTTTATATCTTTATGTTAAAAATTATTTGAACAATTATTTTTATTTTTCTTTTAAGAGGTTGTTGCCGAATTTATTTTTAATATTTTCAAAGTGCAATGAGGCTTCAATTTATGTTCGTTCTTACACCGATATTAAAATCAAACTCAACAGTTAATATTTTATTTCAAGTGAGGGACAAGACCTTAAGGACCATTATTACATTCAAAACCTTTTATTTTTTATAGGTTTAAATCGAGCCTAGTATTTTGCATTTGAGGTATTATTAAATTTCCTATTTTTGTGAAATTATAAAATAGCTTAAAAATTAATACATTTTTATTTCATTTTATCTAAACCGTTAGATTTTTACATCTTTCCCATAATAACCATTCCTGTAAAACAAAAACAATAGCAAAAAAGAAAAATGTTTTTTTTTTGTTTCTCTTAATTTTTTACAACAACACAAATGTAAATGTACTATAATTTTGTAGGCTTGACTATATGTGGAATCGGTAGAAGCACGTTTGGTACATGTAGTACGAATGCAGGAAGGCGGCCTGGTGCTGGCAGCGGTGCCGGTACCCAGCCTTCACCAGCAGGATTTCCTCACCAGGCGTTAACGCTGCCCTTAGCCACAGCTCTAACACGCACAGCTGCTATTAAATCACAATTCCTGGGCATCAACAACTTTTAATAACAATAATTTTTTTGGTGAGGCATTTTAAAACGGCTTTCATTTATTAACTTGAGCTTCCATGAATCACACACAGAGTCCAAAAGGAATTCTAAAAGAGAAAAACAACAATAGCCCTTTGTGCTCAAGTTAAAACAATGTGTCTTTCTTTAACCCTCTAAGTAGCCCCTATAAAAGGGCATCAAGTGTTTTTGCTTTTGAAATTATTGCAAATTCGAAATATGTACTTCGAAATAATCGAACACTTGCAATGATGATAAATAAAACACAAGCTAGTTTAGTTAATAAAAATGTAGCAAAACGTTCGTTCGTTAATTCGTTTTTTATTATATAAATAATAATAATAATAAAGACAAGTAGTTTGTTTGTTAGTACTCGTAATATCTCTCTTATATATAAACATATAATCTGCTATAACAATTACTATTAACCAATTACATTATCTAAATCAAAAAAAAAAAAAATATTTAAACTCAACTCCAGTAGTTATCGAAGGAATGCTAGTTTTTCATAATTAAAAAGTTTAAAGATTCGTAGTAACTTTGCGTGCTTACGTACATACGTAAGTAACTTAAACGTCAGTCACATCAATTCTTTAGATACTCAAAGAGAAAATAATCAATCAATTAACATTTTTCAAAATAAGAATAAAAATTATGTTAACTGACGTTTATTGTTTTTAATGTTCTAGTTATTTAGCGAAACAACTTTAAGCAAACAATTAATCATTAATAAATATTTATGCAATATTAATAAATCTCGTAGAAGTAGATGTCTTAGATCTGTTAAACACGTTATCTCTTTTTAGCCAAAGACGTGTCAGAGTGTTTCATTACTTTTGTAACATTAATATGTATGTTTTTTATTGTCTCCTTTGAAAAATAAATTAATTTTCCAAAGAAGCGTATTTAATATGAAATATTGGTAGCATTCGTACTAAACGTTCGTTAATTTGAAATATTTTTTATTCTCATAATTATTTTTGTTTTGTACATTAAACAGAATAACAATTAGTATACATATTTTCATTCGCTCATTTTTTATTCCTCTATTACCGAAATATGCCCTTAGGGATATTCAGAAAAACATATCATATATTCACTCAATGATCCATATACTACATACCATGTATTATTTGTTTCTTATTTACCAAGTAGTACTTAGTAATACATATCGTTCATCTACTATAAGACAGGCATACATTTTTTTGAAGAATAAAACTTGATATACATATGGGGAATTTCATGTCACGTGACCCAACTAAAAAAATCGATTTTGAAGAAATTTGCACAAACGTTAGTACTATTGGATAGTAGGTCAGACAAGCTCTATCGGTCAAAAACTGCCGGACTTAGAGGGGCTCAAAGTTGGACATTTTGGTCATACATGGTTTTATTCAAATGAGTGCAACTTTTCACCTATCATAGCAAAAATTTGCCGAAGTAATTCAGATAGCTATTTCATTATTCTTCCCAAAATTTTTTTTAATTTAAAAAAAAAATTGTTTATATTTTTTTCCAAATGGGCCTTATTTTTTTTCAAGGGCTTTATAGTCCCATAATGTTTTATTCAAATGAGTGTAACTTTTCACCTATTAATCCCAGCAAAAATTGGCCGAAGGAGTTCAGATAGCTATTTCTTTATTCTTCCCAAAAACAACAAAAAATCCATTTTGAAAAAATAGGGGAAAATTAAGTGCCAATTATAAAAAAATTTAATTCTTGAGTTAAAAAATATTTTTTTTATGGATATCCCACTCGCATCCCATTATGAGACTATAAAGGCCTTCAAGGAAACTGTATAAGCCTTCTTTTAAGCAAAAAAGGTCCCATTTAAAAAATTTCATTTTTAAAAAATTAAAATTTTTTTTGAAAAGAATGAAGAAATAGCTATCTGTACCGCAATTCAGTAACTTCTTAACGACAAAATTTTGTCGTTAAATAATCAAAATTCGTTAGTTTACTGTAATTCTCGTTAAAACCTATTCTAAATTAAATTTTTAAGATTTGTTTCGTTAAAAAGTATCGACAATTAACGATATGTCTCGGTAAGATAACGACATTGTATTGTATTGAATTTTAACAAAAGCATTAAAAATTCTATGTTTTTGGACAGTAATTTACATAATTTTTAACATCAACATTAATGTTCAAAAAAGAGTTTGTATGTTTTTAGTTGCAATAACGCGAATTCTTCCTCGATATTCAGATTTAAAATTTATGTAGATTTTTACATAAATAGTACACAGATTATTCCCTTATATTTCCGAAAAAGACATTTGTAACATGCGGTCTTAGTACAATATTTTGATACTCATCATATTCGGCGTTGGTTTTTTTGCTAAATTGCGCTATTTCCCGCATAAATAAATGTATATAAATTAGATGCGGTTAATAAAGATGCTTCTTGTTTCGCTTTATTTCCAAGGACTCAAGTTTGTTTGTTAATTAATCAACATGTGGTTATACCAACACTGACAAATTTATAACCAGTTCTCCATTATGTACCATTCCTGTGTTTGAAACTCGATGAGCAGCGACTCGGGAACATATAATCATTGGTATCAATTAATGAATAAACAAATTTTAATCGTTTTATATTTATTTAACACAAAATTTATCAGATAATTAAATATTTTTATTGAAATATTTATAAATTTAAAGTTTTGACATTTTATTTATACCCATATTTGTCGTTAACATTTATATATTTACAATAGATGTCTTTAACGTTAAAATAGAGAATAGATAAATCGCTAAGTCAACCGATATCTATCGTTACTTAACGATATCGGTAAAAAATATAAGTTAGAGAATTGCGGTACTGAACATTTGGACAATTTTTGCTAGGACCAATAGGTGAAAAATTACACTCATTTGAATAAAACCCTGTATGACCAAAATTTCCAAAATTGACCCCCTTTAAATCCGGCAGTTCTTGATTGATAGAGCTGAAAATTTGTGCCTGACCTACTACAATAGTACTAACGTTTGTGCAAATTTCCTCCAAATCGGAGACATCGATTTTTAAAGTTGGGTCACTTGACACGAAATGTACATATGTATAAAGTGTAAAATGAGACTCATCTGAACTTAAATTAAATTTTTACATATTAAATATATCAGAAATTAAAACCAAAAATTTTGACGTTTGACGAAAATAATAGACAATTTCGAAAATAGACAAAGCTTTATGAAAGACTCTAATAAGACACATACATATCGTCACCTAAAACGCAAACGGCCCTATCTAACATTTTAAAAATTTTACAGGAGAAGCAAAAAACTATTTAAATTAAAAAGTTTTTTTCT